TCTATCTCTGCTGCTGGAGCTTCCTGGAGTTGCAGTCTACTTGTTGAAATTAGACGTGAACCTGTGTGCTTACTGTTTTGAAGAAGGCTTCTAGCAGAGAATACCCCTTTGGGAGTTTGAATAATGAGAACGGTATCCGGATTGGGAGCCCTGTAAAATTGTGAAGCCATTAGAAGCATTTATTAATAAAGATACAGTTGGCATTTTTTCAGGTGATTGGCAACACAAGTTAGACCTAAAGCCCCCATTAAATGTCACTACTTGAATAATCAAGTATCCAATATTCTGACTGAAAAGTAGTTCTCATAGATGACTAACTTCCTCTTTCTTCCCTTTCTCAGCCTCCTTTCTTAATTTTGACTGCAAAATAAAAATAAAAATGGAGCAGTACCTGTGGTAGGCACAATATGAAACCATTCTTGTGACCTGTTTTCCATTTTTCTCCAAGCAGTGCAGCTGCAGTTTGAAAAGTATTAACGTCCAGGATCAAATGACAAAGTATAAGGATAGGGGCAAATATAGCTGAACTGTTGAATGCGTTGACTAAACAACATAAAATGAAATAGTCATCATGTCAGATTTACAAATCAGATGTAACAGTACCCAAAATGTGCTGGCAGTTAAGGAATTAGAATAACTGATTGAAAATGGATAATCAAAACGCCAAAATGAAGGATGTACCGATGGAAAATAAAAATGGAAATGATCTGCATGTGCACATGCTTGTTAGCCAAATGATGAATAAACAGTTACCATAACACATGTTATAAATATTTTATACACTAACTGGACAACTCTGTTTCCTTTATGTGGGCACTAAAAGGAATGATAGGCTCTGAAACAGGAGGAAGTTACATACTCTGGAAAGTACCTATTAAATTCAATGACAATAACAGATTAGATAAGTAATCTCACCTCCATGCGATACCCTGCTCTTGATGCGCACATAGCATGGTAATAAGTCGAGCACTTGCAACATTGTGTGCAGGAACCATGAATTTGTTTGCAGATCACACATATCTGAAATTTACCAAGTTAACGCTCACTTCAGATTCAACAGGAGAGTTCTTGATATAACAAGGTGTTTTTCCATTTTGATTTGAGATTCAGATCTAAAGAAAGCCTATATTAACTTATATTAATTGGAACAACAACGCCAAGTTGATAACATGTTACATTATAGATGACAATTGGGTGATCAAGACAAAGTAAAGTCTTCTAATGTACATTTGTTAATATATATCAACCAAATAATTTGATTAGGAGCTGTTTCAACTCTTATGATACGATCCGGAGAGTCAGTGTTGGTATGATAGCTTTAGAGGAGCTCTTTCCACTCTTTTTTTTTTCTTTTGATTTGCACCGGGTGTCCGAGTCTCTAAGAGCCCCGACTAATCCCGGGGATGCACAGGCCCTCGGCAAGGAGTTTCCCGCAAGTGCACCACGGTAATTCAGGTTTTACCCAGTCCGATGGCCCTCAGAAATTGTTTGCACCCAGTGGGTTTCGAACTTGAGACCTTGAAAGGGAGCAAACCCCAAGGCTCAGGTCAATTGCCACCAGGCCAACCCCTGAGGGTCTCTTTCCACTCTTATAAGATATCGATTACAATGTTTGCCTCTAGTAGCAATTGGCTCCCCCTTAACAAGGAAAGCTGAGCTATTCAAATTGTCAAGTTGCCATGTCCATTATGAGGTCCGAATTAGTAAAACAGAAACATTTAAAATATAATATTATGTCCTTTAACTTCGTGAAGTAAACCAGCACCTAAATCATCAGTATGGATAATGTCAGATTTAGCTGGATGAGAAACAAATATTGCTACCGAAGCTTTTCATTATATTCTGTTACCGGAAACAAAAATGAATACAAAAGAAAGATGTAGGGTTATGAACTTCATCTTAAATTTCACTTAAAACCCATTTCAGACTTGAAAAATTAGGTGAGAAAAAATCAATACATCTTCAAATAATTTTGCTTCCTTCGCCTATCCAGAATAAAAATCTTCTACTGCAAATGAGATATGTTACATAATATTATATCTTTTTTATAAGAAGGTAAAAGGCTATGTTGCATACTATTATGCCATAACACAGTATTTTCTCCATCACTCAAGCCACTTTCCTTCTGGAGATAACACTAAAGTGAGATCACTGGATTTGCTCCACAAAGTGGAATAACATTTGCCCAAAAAAAAAAGCTTACCTTCACAAAAGAATTTGAAGGGATTCTCAAAATTCCAACAGCAGGCTCCATTTTCTCATCACTAGCAAAACAAACTTCAGGTTGGAACCAAGCACAAGTAACATGAACCCACAATGGCTTAATATCTGTGGGCTTCAAAGCACCTCCTAAATTAAGCAACAATATAAGGTTAGTAATTGCAGGCGAAAGGAAATAGGTTTGAAAACAGTTTGGCCAGATTCCAGCAGCACTACAATAAATAAAAAATAGTAATTAGTGTAATGCCTTTCACAGGACAAAGACAGCATTCCCGTTCAATTTCAGGAGTCTCGCAAGATCTGCAGACCCACGAAGTGAAATCCCGAACATTTCTTGCTCCATAGCATTCTTGATGAACAGCTATTTGACACCTGATGAAAAATAGAATTTCAGTACATTTGTTTTCTTTAAGGAAAAATTTGGAATATCATCTTAAGATTAAACAACCTTTGCAAAAAAATAAACAAGAAACCCAGAAATTACTTGAGAAACCCACCAAAACATATACTCCTAAAAAAAACCTAGCGCACACATATCCTATTTCAAATCAAAATCTTTTCCAATGAGAAGTAACCAGAAGTTGGTATTCAAATCAAATACTAACAACGAAAGTCTCCAAAATTGAACACATATGAATAGTTTCCACTAATCTCCTACCAGGCAGATTAGCCTTTTGAAGTTTGGTCATACCTAATGCATATAATAATTTTGTTGTAGTCCCAATCTTCAACCCATCGACATACTGCACACCTTTCTGTGGTCCACTTTGCATAAATAGGTTCATACTTTTCTGTATCATTGAAGAAAAGAATTGACAACTGATTAGTGCTTTTTTATTAAAGCAGCAGATGTGGTTATGGGCCATGGGACATAGCCAAAGTGTAGTAAAATACAGGTATGGATGCAGAGGTCAGGAGCATCTAAAGCATAAATATTTGGATTCAGATCCAGACAGAAATATGAATACGGATATAAGGGGGATTCAAATATTTAGGCTTGTCTAAATTGTTATTTTTTTGAAGAAAAAAAAAAAGTGGTTACTAGGTAGTGTCTAAATATTTAGCACAATTCAGTATTGTTACTTAATTGGAACAAATAGTGGCTGCCAGAGTTATGCAACACAAAGATGCAGAGGGACACAAGTGACAACCAACATGCAATAAGACACGCAGGGATGATTATTTCAAAAATTAAAAGTAACATTTATATCTTCTGATCCCCAGTTCAAGTTCATGCACGACCTAAATCCATTTGAGGAGCATGGACATTAATATGGACATCTATTATTTGATGTTATTATCATATTAAAAGTTTGTAGAGTTATAGAGTCTTCTTCTTTCTATAGATGATCGATCCACCTCTCCCCTTCTATATGTAAATTTAAATTCATCTTTAAAAAATAAAAAATTCTTCTCCAACAATATGATTAGGACCATACAAAAAATGTGGAAAGGAAAAAAAGGAATTTGCTGAGACATGATTGAGGACAATATAAGTGATAATAATGAAAAAAGGATTAGAACATGGTTTTGTTGACAAGTATCCTGCTTCTAACACATATCTTCTATAATGCTGGCACAATGCCATTTTAAAAGTACATATGTTGCATAGATGTGGAATGCCTCTCCCAAAACAAGTAAATAAAGCAAAGCATGTACCTCGGAGAAAACTTAGCAGCTTTTGTCTCCGTACTTTTAAAGGAGGACGTTTAACCGATTTGGTAGAAACAACATTCTGTGCATGATACTCTGCCATTTCTAGCATCTGTGGAGCAAAACAAGATGTTACCTGCCTTACTTCATTTGTGAATCAAAAGACCGTAGCTTACAGAATGCAACTGAGTTGTAAATTCAGATAAAATATACTCAGAATGAACCAATGCCATGTAAATTATGAGAGCACTGTTGCCCTTATCAACCAAAACAAAAGAGAGAGAGAGAGAGAGAGAGAGAGAGAGCACATTCCAATAAATCTTCATAACTGACAGGTTATGAAAGAACACAGTTTTTTCCCATGAAAAGCAAAGGAATGATATCCGCTAACGCATGAATCAATTTCAGAGTAATTCCCAAATGTCAATAGTTAAAATACTCTTAACAATACTATTTATCAAAACACATTTTTAAAGTTCAAATTCTAGACGATAAAAGCTATTACATCAAACATATGACGAACCTCAATAATACATCTTATATTTTTTACTGCCAGTAATATTGAAGAAAATCAAACCTCCTCTTCATACACAGTGAGATCGTGTCATGTGCCCACGATGACATTCGATGTAATTATTCCTAGAAAATAAATGCAGCCACCACAGACTGAAACAATGGCACACATAAAAAGGAAGCAATGGGGCATGTCAATTGCTCTTAAACTTACGGGTGAACTAATTTGCAAAGCTGTTACATCAAAATCTTACCAACATAATTCTGTTGATAAATTATAATTGTATGATAGTTCCTTATCAAAAAACTACTATTGCATGATAGTATCCAATAAAAATGTCTAGTCCATGTCAAATCATAAGCAGAATAAGAAACTGAAGAATACAAACCCATTGTTCGAGAGGTAGCAAAGAACCCTTCACCCTGACACTGGTCTTCCAGTTTTTTATTTTAGAACCTGTGTGCCTCTCCCATTCACTAAGTGCCTGTTTTTCTGCTCCGCAATATCCACACTTGCAAACAACTCTGGAACAAAAAGAAGGAGAATATGATTGCAAAATATATGAGCCAAGTCATTGGTAAGAAAATCCCTGATCTCTTAATGCTGGAACTTGTCTTGAAGAGAACAAAGGTCCACCCAGAAAAATCACATGTAAACAATTTGATAGATCAAATTTCCTAACTGCTACTTGCATTCATGTTCACTGTTTTGCATTCCACAAAGGTTAGGTAGAATTTTTTAAATAAGACAAATGTTAGATAGAATTAATCAGTTAATTCCAAAAGTTACCATCTAAGTGTTCAAACCTCCACTTAATTATAAAATCCGAGATTTATAAAGGAAACACTAACAAACACAGAGTAAGATTCAGAAGTATGAGAGCTGCTACAGGGAAAAAACAGGTATTAAACTCTTTATACCAGACAGACAACTTAAAGGAAGTGATGCACAGCATCAGACAGAGCCAATCGCTGGTGAGTGAGAAAGAACCAATGGACATAACGAAGGCCCATGTACACTTACAGGTGAAGCCTTGGGAAATAAATGCCTTCCACTCCTGAGCAGATAACAGAAACCTTGTCTGGCAATGCTACTGTCTGACAATCATTGTTGTTGTTTCTGAACCAGGAAACAGTAAATAGTTAGTTCAAACCACAAGCTTTCAACTTAAACACAACTGATTGATGAGACTAACTTGGCCTTAGAATTCATTTTTTCTGAGTCAGACAATTCAAAGTTAAATCTTGCTCTGCATTCTGGACAATAGTAATCAGAGGTACTCAGCTCCTGAAAAAATATGGACAGCAGATTATGTTATTGCAAAGTAGAAAATAAAACATGGATATCAAAAGGGAAGAAAAAGTTTCAGCAAGATTGAGATACCTTGAAATTTTCTCTTGAGATTTTGTCACACTCAGCATGCACCCACACTTTGCAACCATCACAGCGTACCTAAACCAGCAAAGAAACTATTGTTGTTTCTATGAAGAAATATCACCATAAGTAATTTCATGGAAAGAAATAGGAGGTGGTTACGAACAACCAGCAGATGATAACAGGTTTCTCACCCAAGTTCCACTATCTGAGGGATTACGAATCTTCTTGCATATGCCACAATAATGTTTTATCTTCTTTAGCTGGAGTATAAGACATAAATATTACTATCATGACATCAACATCTAGATCATCAAAGAAAGATAGAAAGATAATTTGGAAGCTATAACAGACCCTAGCACAAGCAGTACACAGACGATTGCTCCTGAGAGTTGAGTCATTCCATTTCCTGGATGGCTTAGAAGAAAGACTCGATCCACAAGCGTCGCAAGAGTCAAGTTCTTTCTTCTTCAATAATTCCTGCACAAAGATTCTAAACATGATAAACTTACAGGAAGTACCCTATACTCTGAGACATTTGTTTCTTTCTTTTGATTTTAGGGGCTGCACGTAAGGGGAAGTACTGCAGTGAAATTTTAGCAGAATCATTCCACCCAGATCAGGATAGGAATGCTAACAAGAGGACCTCGATGGTAGTATGTTAGAAAATCAGGAAAAAAGCCTGAGTGGCTCTGAAACATGCCTGGCTTGGAGAGTTACACTCTTGGTCCTGATTTGAGTCAGAGACCTCAAATGCTCCTCGGGGAAGAGACTGGAAATAATCTATATTGCCAGCCACTGCATTTATTTCAACCATCAACATCTCAATAAAGCCATTTTCAGCTAGAAATGCCTCTTCTATGGCAGAGCGAAGATCACTGGGCGTGCTGTCGTTCAAGTTAGTCTGCCCCTGAAACCTAAACAAAGCAAAGGTTCACCACACCCTGACATTACTAAGAAATTATATCAGCATTAACAGAGCTGCCACAGACCTGTCTACATATTCCAGAAACGGAAATAGCATCCCACGTCTAATCCATGCATAATCCTGCTCATAAAAACATATCATCTTAGTAGATACACCAATACCTCATACTTCGGCACTTTCGCATAGTGGGAGTCTGCATAACGCACAAAAGATAAAGTCTTACCCTTTGCGTGCCATTTCCAGAGTAACCAAAGAACATGACACAGACAGCGCCAGCAACTCGGAAATTTAGAACTTGCTGGGGAACTTGTGTTTCTGAATCAAGGACAACTGCGGGCCAAGCAGGACAATGTCTTCCAGATATTGCCCAAACTATGTCACCCGAATTAAAATCCTTACCACCAAACTTATTAGCTCTCTTCCCTCCCTCCACCTTCACCGTTCCATTAATGCCGCTTAAATCTATAGCTTCATCGAAATGTGCGTCGTCTGCATCTCCCAGTCGCTCATGTAATGATGTGAGTGTACTGCGAGAACTAGAATACTTCCTAGTAATATCCAAACGCTTTGAACCATAATTACACCCAATTTCACGTTTGGCATTTTTAAAGCTAAGCTTTTCTCTTGCATCCGGATTAAATTCAGGGTCCGAAGTTGATTCTTTAACACTAGTAGTAGTTTTGCTCTTCTCTTTCTTCCAATTATCAAGAACCGAGTCATTGAATCTAGAAGGAAGTACCTGTACACGCCCCCGTGAAGTCCTCACTAGTGGCGGCCGTGAAGCCTCCTGTACTGGATTGCTCCTCCTCTGTTTTGGCAACTCAGCCACACCGGGGGCGATGCGGGAAACCTCCGTGCACCACGACACAGCTGCTCCGCCGTTACCTCCGGCGGCGGCTAAAATTCTTTGAATACCGTATCCATTGAACGGAATTATACCAGCAACGGCTACATCGCGGAGCAGATGCAAAGGGTAATATCCACCACTGCTACTACTCTTGCGCTTTTTCCGATTACCGGAAAACTCGTCGTCGGAGTCACTCACTCGGCACCGCTTCAAACTCGGCATTACCGTTTTCAAGCTCTTCTTTATAATCATTACTGCCCCAAACCCAAAGTCCAAATTCAGCCGTCAATTCTATCCAAAAATTAAAAAAGACCTCAAATTCCTCAATCCGAAACCCTAATTTTGACTGAAGAGACCCAGCAAATTGTTTAGAGAATACAAGAAGAATCAACCGAAGTAACAGAGAGCGCGAGAAAATTGAAGTAGAATCCAATTACAACAGCGAAAAATAGGGAGAAGAAGATAATATGAGAACTGAAATTGAGAAGAAGATCTGATTAGCTGAAAGAATAGAGATCTCTGTTCCACCAAGTTTCCACAAAACTGTAGATGAGAGAGAGAGAGAGAGAGAGGAAACGATTTTATATTAAAATGTGTGTGAAAAATGTGAGAAATTGACGGGGGAAATTAAATTAGGAACATTTTCATTTTGGTGAAATTATACATATAGGTTGTATGAATGTATAGATAGACTGCAAGTTAGAGAGGAAAAGGAATAAGGATGACTGACAAAGGGGGTGGGTGTGTGAGGAGTTGGCGTTAAGAGTAAAGCAAAGTAATATAGTAATGCTATAGAGAGAGAGAGAGAGAGAATTGCCAACTTGACTCAGACGTGCTTGGAGTTAAAGATTTGCATTTTGGTTCGAGAAACATGGCTAAACTGAAGTTGGTTTTAACGTAAGACATGGCGTTTTTATTATTTTGGGTGTTGCAGAGGTTGGTGTTTTTGTCACAACAGTGCTCTCCAAGAAACTTGGAAGCAAAAAGTGACAATGGATAATTCATGTCTTGTCAATTTTGTTTTATTGTTTTTGTTTGGTTTTTATTTTATTTTTTCTCTGAATAGGATCAGTATTTAAAATGCTTGAATTTGATTCTCGTAAAAAAAGAAAAAGGGATGCTTCAATTTGATGATTTTCATTTGGATTGTTGCGTAAATCGTGTTTGATTTTTCACTAGATAATGGAAGCGTAATTGAAGAAGCTTTTATTTCTTCCTTGACCATAAAGAAGCAACGGAAGCAGAGATTGAACATTTGATTAATCTTTTAATTCCTTTTTGAGTAATCATCCCGTCCAAATATTTAAATTGGTGTTGGATAAATTTTACCGGTCTAAATGTAATGATCGAATTCCTAGTCTGAAAGTGCAAGTTGGAATAATAAATTTTGTTAATGGATTTAGTTGATGAATCAAAGGCGTGGATTGTAAACACATAAATAGCCATGGACTCGTAAAAATTATTTACTTGCCTCTTAGTTGCAGGGATTTTTTTGTGTGTGTTCTTGGTTGGGCTTAAGGTGTAGGTGTATATAGCCTTTTATAGAAGAAAGAGTTTACTTTTCAAATCGAATTGGGTATTGAAGAAGTGAAAATATTTTTAGTAGAGACGAGTCTTCTGTGGGCTAAGTCAGTCACTCTCCTCTCTCTCTCTCTCTCTCTTACAGCCACCAAATCCATTGCCAAATTCTGGTTTTGAAGGTTAATTTCATGGTACTTCTCTTCTCTTTCCAAATGATACTAGTTGGATCATACTAGTTGTTGTTTTCTGGTTTGCGACGGCTGAAGCTTGTTACTTCGGTAAAGTATTTTCTTTGTTACTTCGGTAAGCTCCTCTCCCCCTCCTGCTGAAACCCTAGATCTGGTTCACTATCGAAGCCTGAAAAATCCGGTAAGCTCCAATTCATTATCTTGGTTTTGTTCTAAATCGAATTTTAGCATCTGGGTTTTGCTTAAAATCGAATTTTGTACGACTGAGTTGGTGGAGTAATATTATACGACTGAGTTGGTGGGTGCGGCTACTCTGTTTCGCTTTTGGTCGCCGCTTTTCTCCTAATCATCTCTCTGCCCGCTTTCTGATAGATCTAAAGCTAATCCAATTTTGGGCTCATTTGAGGTCCTTGTAGTCTTAGTGATAAAAGAAAGTAAAATTAGTGACAATACTAGGTAAAGTTTACGTATTTACAGTGAATAAAACTTTGTAAAAGAGTAAATCATCCTTCATCATTATTAATCTAAACAGGAGTTAACAGGATTATATGATAAAACACCATATGAATCGCTGGAAGTAGAAAGAATAGCAGAAAAGAACCTTTTCTATTCCTTACATTGCTTTAGGAAAGAGGTTGTACCCCTACCACTAGAAATTCATTTAAATTAGACAAAGATAGATTTTAGCTTAAGAATTTATGGAATTTGGCGGATTGAATCGTTGTCCATTGCTATCGAGTTGCACTCGTTTGGTCACCGGTTTGTTGCTGTTATGTTGCCGGATCTCCTCGCCTATTTCAGAAGTTTGCTTGTTGTTTTTCTTCAGTTAATTTTGGCTGCTAGTTACTTTCGGTGCTACATCAGTGGTAGCGGTGATAGCCCTTTTTGGTCTTTGGGTCGTGATATTTTCTGTGTTTTCAGGGAAAATCTCAAAGTTGTTGGAGACAAGTTGGGCGCACGAGCACTAGCAAAGGAGAGCAACCTGGACGA